TTTTTTTTTTTTTTTTTTTTAGTAAATAGAAAGCAAGGTCATCCTCTGAGAGTGTGGATGGTGGAGAGAATGTAAAAGACTTTAAGGAGGGAAAGGATATGAAATAGTCACTTGAAGGAGGAATGGACTAAACAGACAGTGTGTTATCCCATGAAGCCTGGCTGTGTGTTGTCCTCTAGCTGCAGTCAGTTGTACAGGTGCAGACTGGTTTTACCTCTTGTGCTTTTACTAAGTAACTGTAGTAAAGCAAGAAAAGGGACTGGCACAGCTTGATGGTACAGTTAGTAGCAAACTGAACTACGGTGCCAGAAACCAGTAGCAGACTATGACTTCAGATCCTCGAGTCAGCCTGAGAGCACACTGGGTGTGTGTGCCTGGGACACTCACAGGCTGGCAATCTGGGAAAAGGGGATCATGGTGTTGAAGAGACCCTGCCAAGATGCTGCTCTCACTCTCTTACTCTCATGTTCTTGCTCTTGCTCTGTCTTTGTACACACATGCTTTCTATCATGAAAATGAAAGGAGGGAAATGAGAGTAAACCGCTTGTAGAACTTACAGCTGGTGATGGGAGAGAATGGCTGTAAGAGGGAAGGGTGACGACAGAAAAGTGGTAGGATGGATGGACGAGAGTTCTGTGGGGCTGACCTCATAGCATAGTGCTTAAGCCATATGCATAGGGAGCCAGATCCCACATGGCCAGTTGTGGTTTGAATCCTGGCCTTCTTGGCTTGAAGAGCACACAAAGAGCACATGTGCTACATGTGCTTTTATGCCTAAAATCCCTTCGGGATAGAGAGATAGAAGAAAAAGGATTGTATGACCATGCCTTGTTGGGGGAATTTTTCTCTCTCTGACTAGGTCATATGCCCTCTAGCAGTGAAGGAAAAAAAATCAGAAAAACCCACCAGAGTTCCTATAAGGGATTGTTGGAGGCTGCTTACCAGGAGGAGTGACCTGGAAAAAGAGCTGGTTTTTGGCCTGAGGTGGATGCCTAGAAATTGAGATAGGTATGAGGTGGTTTGTAGTTACTAGTCACGAGAGTTTAGGGTATGATTGTTGTGAGCAGGTAGCTGAAATTGGGTGGAGGACAAGGGGGAGGTACGTATGTGGTAGAGTGAAAAAGCCCCTTGATGTGTGATCCATACAAGTTTAAACTAAGGTTTACTTCCTCACTGTGAAGGAGTGCTTCTTATCTGGAGGCAGCATGCCATGGTAGTTACAGTACAAGCTCCGATGCCAGCCTGCCTCTGCCAACTCCCACCTGCCATTTCATTACTGTGTGACTTATGCCACATTTTCTCATCTGGAAATTGGAGGAGTCTAATAACTTTCACTTCTTTTTTTAAAAAAGCAATTATCATTCTTTCCTTCTTTCCTTTTTTAAGAATTATTTTTTAAATTTTACTTATTATTATTAATGTTTAATTTGACCAGAGAGAGATAGAGAAAGTGAGAAAGCAAACCGCCAGGTCTGAGACTTGAACTGCAGTCAGCCATATGGGAGTCCAGTGCCTTAACCACCAGGTCACCTGCCTTGCCCCCATTTGGTTTTTTGTTTATTTGTTTAAAGAATTATTCTATTTAACTTTATTTACTTATTTATTTATTTTAATTTGACCAGAGAGGGACAGAGAGAGAAAGAAAGCAAGCTCCCATATCCAGGACTCAAACTGTGGTTGGCCATGTGGGAGTCGAACACCCTTAACCACCACTCCACCTGCCGGCCCCTATTTTTAAGATGATGAATTAATAGATTATCTGCTAGGAATTATGTTCAAAGTCCTGAAATTATTTGCTTGAACATATAATGTTTGATTATCTCCCTTAGAATAAGACCTTGGGGCAGACAATACAGGGATAGTATATGGACTCCATCAAATAATTAGGGATCCAAGCCCTTTCCACATTTTCACTCCACCATCCTGAGGATTTGACCTTCATCCTTTGATTAAAGATATGTGCTAGAGGGAACCAGCAGTTAGCGTAATGGCTATGTCGCTGGACTCCCACGTAGTCGACCGCGGTTCGTGTCCCGGACCCGGTGGCTTAAAACTCACGCCGGGCGCGTGTGCGTGCGTGCCCAAGATCCCGGGAGGAGAATGGAGGAGAAGGGATTGCGGCGTGACCATCCCCCCCTGGGGGGTGATTTCTCGCTTTCTGTCTCTATGTCTCTCTCTGTCTGTCTGGCGAGCGCACGCGCCCTATAGTGAAAAAAAAAAAAAAAACTCTAAAAAAAAAGATATGTGCTAGAGCTCCAGCTATCCCCTCTGAGTTCCAGGGTCACAGAAAGAAGATGAGTAGAAGTTCGCACCTCTTTCTTTTGAGCAAACTTCCTAAAAATGCTGCAGAATACACTTCCATCTTAAATGGCCATGTCTGTATCAGAGGGTCGGAAATATATTATTAGTTGATTGGCATTGTGCCCATGTCTGAGGTGAGGATCCTGAACTAAGGAAGGTGAAGGTATGAGAGATTAGAAACAATTGGCAGCCCGTGTCGCAGAGTGCTTAGCACGTGCCAGGCACATAGGAAGACTTGATAAATGTTAGCTGTTTGTACTGTCTTAATTGTCATTGATGGAAATTAAATGAAACTTCCCATTGTGTTTGGGTACTCATAGGTGTGTGTGTTCCTTTTCCTATAACAGCCGTTCCTCCACTGGCTACCAACACTGTGTCTCCATCCCTCGCATTGCTGGCAAATAACCTGTCCATGCCTACAAGTGACCTACCACCTGGTGCCTCCCCAAGGAAAAAGCCTCGAAAGCAACAGCACGTGATCTCAACAGAAGAGGGTGATATGATGGAGACAAATAGCACCGATGACGAGAAGTCCACAGCCAAGAATCTTCTGGTGAAGGCTGAGAAGCGCAAGTCCCCTCCCAAGGAATATATCGGTAATGGTTGTTCAGGCTGTTTCCTCCTAATAGTTCCCACCTGAGTCAGAGGTCCATCCCAGGGCCCTTCACATACTTCACTTTAACTCCCTTACTGGAATTGAACCCTGAGGGACTACTGACCATACAAGATAAGCTGCTTAATGCCTTCTTTTCTTCCCTTGCCAATAGATGAGGAAGGTGTGAGGTATGTCCCAGTGCGTCCAAGACCCCCCATTACTTTACTCCGTCACTATCGGAACCCCTGGAAAGCTGCTTACCACCACTTTCAGAGGTACAGTGACGTCCGGGTCAAAGGTTAGTTTCTCCAGAAACGTCCAGTATTAATGCATGAGATTGGTGTAACATTTGGTTATATCGTAATCACAGTAGAATAGACAAATAGAATCACAATTTTCTAGTTCCAGAAAAAACAATACATTTTTGTTAAGTTAAACACTGAATTTTCAGGATTTTATAACAAAAAATACTCAGAACATAAAATTTAGAAAATTTTTCTTTTCGCAGGAAGCATTGTGTATTTATTGGCATCCAATGTAACAGTTAAGTGATAGCTTTGTCTTTTTTAAAAAATTATTTATTTAATTTTATTTTTTGTTATTACTTATTTTTTAATTTAAACACA